CAGTAGATTCCGCGGGCACCTGACTCGATCGAAGCCATGATCATGTCGAGATGCTGATCGGGGTGACGCGGGCCTACCGCAACGAACTCAGGACGAACCTCCAGCAGCATCTGGCGATAGTCTGCATACCCGCGATCAAGCTTCAGCTTCTCAACTTCTCGCGCGAGCCCTCCCTGGTCGGCGTCGGCGACCGCAACGGTCTCGGTCTCTGGGACATTTCGCCAGACGGTATCCAGTCCGTGCCCGTAGTTGCCGCGACCGCTATGGCCGATGACTGCCACGCGGCGCCGCGACGAATCCTCGGCACGAAGCGACGAGCTCAGCAGGACGGCGGCGGAGGAAGCGGCAAGGAATGTGCGGCGATGCATAGGAAAGGTCTCGGAAGTGCTGCCCAGCGGCATGGGAAAAGGTTGGCGATGGTCCGGCAGTTCAAGCTGCCAGGGATGCGTGAAAAGGCCACGGCTGTCAGTGGGTACCACCTACCCGGCTGAGCTCATCAACACCTCAAACTGCGAGGCAATCGCCAGGCAACCGGTGTAGGTGATCAACAGGGAAAACAAAAACGCGGTCCCCATGCCCAGGTTCAGCCAGAGTCCGGCTTTGTGCTGGTGCATCAGGTCGCGACGATTGACAAGGTAGGCCATCGCGGCAATGCTGACCGGAAGGACAAAGACACCACCGATTTGGCTGACAATCTGAGCTTGGATGGGGTTAAAGCCAAGGATAGGCACGATCAAACCGACCAGGCAGGCCACGGCGCACAGCACGCGAAACAGTGGTGTGTTGGTCTCCATGGTTCCGTTACGGTAGTCGGCGATCAGCAGCGGGGCGGCCATCATGATGGGAAACAGCGACGAAAGCCCGGCACTCAACGCCCCGGCAAAAAACAGCGCCATCGCGAACGACCCGGCCGCTGGCTGAAGGGCTTGGACCATGTCCATCACTTGCTGGATCGACTTGCCCTGGTAGTACAGCGCCCCGGTGGCACTGGCCATCACGGCCAGGCTAACCAGAAACATCAGTACGGCAGCCGTCACGCTGTCGCGCGTCTGGGCTGACTTCTGCTCGACGGTCCAGCCCTTGGCCACCATCAACAACGGGCGTACGACAAACGTTGCAGCGGCCATGGTTGTTCCCACCAT